TGATGATATGATCGATCGCTTGCATCGAGAAATTAAATGTCATGAATTCACAGACCGGTCGCAGGCCAGCCTGAAATATTACTTATGTTAATTGGATAAAGCAATAAGAAAAAAATGTAATATTAATATGATGAGCTGTAAACGCACCATTGCAGCTCCACTCAATACCAGCAAACCAGCTTCTGTAATTGGTGTGTCAATGACACGTTTGTCTCCGTACTTCTTCCAAAGACCACGAGAGACCTTGTAAGCACCATCGTATAAAGCAACTTCTTCACCAAGAAGGAACACCCTCGCTCCTTCTCCATCTCCTCATCCAGGGCTGAGTTCAAAGCATCTCGCACAGTCATCTAAGATATTTATAAAATTTCCATAAAAGAATACTGAATCACAAGTAAATGACCTTTCATGTCCTTCAAATTTTCATTTTAACAAAATAATCATAAATGAGTAAAATAATTAACTGAGAAGAATGGAACGAAAGTAACTATTGATCAATGCAAAAATATCAGTGAAAACTATCATATCTTTACAATATATTGAGAAAACCGAGATTTTAGGTTAGTTTAACAGTAGAAAATAAATCACCTGCTGTGCTGCTGCCCATTTTGAGGTGGAGAACGAGCGCGAACGACGGTTCTTACGACAGTCTGAAAACAAAAAACTATCATCATTTCAAAATTAAATTTTCTATTTCTTTGTTTTTTTTGCTTTTTTGTTTCCTCTTATTTATTCTTTTTTTCACATAAATCGCAACGTTTTGTTCCACACTTGCAGTAGTTGCTCAATATTTTCTATCCTCCCATACAAGATTTATTATAACAAAACAGAATTAGACAGATAGAAAAAAGACTGCGAAGAAACGTGGAAGAGAACACAATAAATTACGACAGATGGTTCTTCACAGAGCTTTAAAGTGCTTTGCAAAGCTCTTCACCGTGAGCATGTTATAGGCCGTTGACGAGTACAATACGATTTTTCGGAAGGATTTTCTCGGGGACGATCTCTCTTCTTCGAGAACACTCGAGTTGGAGTCCCTCGTCCTGCACTAACGAAATCTGGACACGAGTCCGGCACTGTTATGACACAGATTAATAGACAGATCGCCAAAGGTCTGGATGAAGGAGAGACCAGCATTTCTCACTGATTTCAAGCGCCATATCGTAGTAGTAGTCAATGCAGTAACTATTAATACGTTCCCAAGATAAGAGCGTCTCATGCTCATGAACTCGTCCGGCGGCATGTACGAGATTTATCTTTTCGTAGCGTTCGCGTATTTCGGAAAGGACAGAATTTTATGATGTTATAAATAAATAAATAAATAAAATATTAACCTGACCTATTATAATTATTTTTTAATAAATGTTTCATTATTATTATCATCTAAGTCGTCGTTTAATTAATTTTTAGTTTTTTTAATAATTAATTTAATTTATTCTAACATTTTAATATGTGAAAAATACTAATACGTATACGTTTTATAATGAATTAATTATTTCGAGAGTCGAATTATATTTTTAATATATAAAAGTGTTCAAAAATATATTTGACTTTTAATTTAATTATTTTAGCAAAGAGTTTCCGAAATCTCTTACACACATATAGAGATTTTGTTCATCCATATAATTCGCAATTAAGTATATATGTTAATTATTAATTTTAATAAATACAAAATTAAAATTAAAGTCAAATATAATTTTTGAACATAAAATATTTATAACGTATAAGACGGGCAACAAGAGCCAAATCGCGGATGACAATGCGTTATCCTAACGGAACTAAAATATTTTTCGTTAGAATTAAATACCGTGCACAAGGCACCAAATTTTACTTGGACACGGCCAAGATTTTAAATATGAAATAATCTCATATTTTGAGATTTATTCAATACCCCTTTAACCCCCCACGGAAAATAAATAAATGAATGCAAGAGAAAATATAGATCCGAAATCGTTGAATCGGGAATCGAACCCGAGACCTTTCGCTTCGGGTTCGATTCCCGATTCAACGAATTTCGGATCTATATTTTTCTCTTGCATTCATTTATTATTTCGTAGGGGGGTTAAGGGGTATTGAAATTAAATCTCAAAATATGAGATTTTTCATATTTAAATCTTGCCGTGTCCCAGGAAAAATTTGGTGCCTTGTGCACCGTATTTATTCTACGAAAAATTAATTTGTTCCGTTAGGATAACGCATTTGTCATCCGCGATTGGCTCTTGTTGCCCGTCTTATACGTTAAATTTATATTTATATTAACAGAGCCTTGTTAAAAGTCTTAAATATTTTAATTCGTTTAAAACGTATACCCGTGATAGTATTTTCTCGTACAAAAATAACTAGAACAAATTAATTACTCATAAAAAAATTAAAAATAATTAAATAATTTATATTATATATGATAATATAAAACTTTTATAAAAAAAACAGATTCAATAAATATAAGTATATATATACATGTACTTATATTTATTGAATCTGTTTTTTTAATAAAATGTTTTATAAGCTTAGAAAACTTGACTTTGACGTAACTAGCAAATTTTATTTAATTATTTCACGACGGTTTGACGTAATAAAATGTTTTATTATTATTATAAAATATAAGTTTAAATTCTTTAATTAATTTTTAATCTTTTATGATTAATTTAATTTACTCTAATTATTTTGTACGAGAAAATACTATCATGGGTATACGTTTTATAATTAATTTAATATATTTGTGTTTAAAAATTATATTTGACCTTTAATTTTAATTTTTATTTTATTAAAATTAATAATTAACATATATACTTAATTGCGAATTATATGGATGAAAAAAATCCCCATTATGTGTGTAAGAGATTTCGGAACTCTTTGCTATAAAATAATTAAAATTAAAAGTCAAATATAATTTTTGAACACTTTTATATATTAAGAATATATAATTCGATTCCCGAAATATATTAATTCATTATAAAACGTATACGTGATATATTTTCTCATATAAAAATGACTAGAATAAATTAAATTAATTATTAAAAAACTAAAAAGTAATTAAACGACTTAGACTTAGATGATAATATAATGAAACATTTTATTAAAAAAAGATTCAATAACTAGTAGGTCAGGTTATAATTTTTTTTTTATTTATTTATAACATTATGAGCTATTAAGCTCATCATCTCGTTCGCTCTCTGTCTTGCTTTCATTCGGCAAGTCACAAACGATATATGATACTCGTATGTTCCTACTTCAACTCTCGAGAATCTGAAACAAACGAAACTCGTGTCCAATATACAGGGTGTCCGGTAACTAACAGACCAATGATTACAAATGGATTCTTTGGTCAATTGGGAACGATTTTTCCTCAGCGAAAATGTCGAAAAAGGTCATCATTTTTTACAACTTTCCAATCTTTGTCATTATGTATCTTTATAACTAAGCCTTAAATTAAAATTTATTATATAAAACTCTACCTGAAATTAACTGAAGAATGTAATTATGTTAGACTTTTAACTCCAAAACGTTTAGTTTTCAAAAAACCTATTTTTTTAATCGCTTATAACTCGAAAATTATTGACTTCTCAACATTTTTGCTAAGGAAAAATCGTCTCCAAATTGGCCAGAGAATCCGCCCTTAATCATTGGTCCGTTAGTTACGGACACCTTTGTATATATTATATAAAAGTGTATAGCACGTCAGAAGCTTGTGAGCTTACAGCGATAAGTAAAAACAATTGCGTATTTATTTCATTGCGTTTATCTGTTTAAACGCGCGCTTAATTTTCCAACGTTTTTGCCTGTTTATATTTTAAAGTCCTCTCTTCTAAAAATCTTGTTTTAAAGATCCTCTCCGCGAGCAAATTTCGAAAACATAAATTATTTAATATTTTTACTTATTATTTGTAATCCTCGGTAATTTCAAAATTTTTCTAAGTTTGACTTTAAAAATTCATTTTTTTTTGTTTTTATTAATATTTAAAATATTGCATTACATATTAAATTAATTTTCTTATTCAGACTACTTACTCTTACTCCCATTGCACTTTCGTTTGCGGTTTTCAGTATACGATTTTTTATCGTAGTTACTGAAAATTATTATTGTGAATTATACTTGTGCAGTGATTTGAAGAATTTACAATTTCGTTGAAATTGTTGATTTTTCAAAAAAATTACGAGATTCGCGGAAATTGCGTGCTTTCTTGGCATTTTCCGTTCGCGGCAGGCGGTTTATTTTTGATTGTTGCAAGTGTTTTTGTTTTTTTTTTTATTAAATAGATAATAATAATGTGAAATAAATCACGATATTTGACAGATGTGCATATATATAGAAATTGTAATAATAATAATATTATATCATAAAATTGTAAATTGTTTCAATTTTTTATAGACTGCGATAAAAGATTTTACATTTGGATAAGAAACTGCGGTAAGTAAAAATATAAAATTCTTGAAAACGTAAAAATATTTGATAACGTAAAAAGATGAACTTTGAAAAATAAGGAACTTAAAAATTGCACTAATAAATGGGCTATATATATGTGAGCCGTGCGCGGATGTAAGGTGTGTTATATCGAAATTTAATTAATAGAATTGAGAATTAATCCCAATTTTAAGTCTTACAAATGTCCAAGCTAATTTTTTGTACCTCGTGTACATTTTTGAAAGTTATATCGAAAAATTAAATTTCAATATGCGTCTTACATCTCACATTTCGCATACGGCTCACATATAGCCTATTTATCTCTTATACTTTATTTCAACCCTTATAGAAATTTATTACTAGTAACGCCAATTTATCACTTATTTCGAGTAATTAATCACTTTTATTTCGAATACTTAAATTACTGTATATTATAGTATTTTAAATACTCAAAATAAGTGATTAATTGGCGTAGTGATAAATTTCTACAAGAGAATAAGGAGCCTTTAAATTCTTAATGTAAAAAATTTCAAGTAATTTTCTTTAATAAAATTTAATTAAAAAATTTAATTAAAAATTTTTGAACACTGTGTTATATCACATTTAAAATCGTGATTATTTCAATAAAAAAACATTTTATGTGTAAAAAATATATTTTTTATATTTAATAAATTTTATATATATATGCATATATGTAAAATATTCTCTCTCTCTCTCTCTCTCTCTCTCTCTCACACACACACACACACACACACACACAACGGGGGCCAAATCTCTCAAATTGGTCTCATGATCAATTAGCCTGGATTCGCACCAGGGGCAAAGTCTGTTGGTAATGTCAAACGAATTTAGCCTGGACTTGCACCAGGGGCAAAGTCTTTTGGTCGAGTCTACGAAATTTAGCACGGACTCGAACCAGGGGCAAAGTCTTTTGGTTCAAGTCTACGAATTTAGCACGGACTCGAACCAGGGGCAAAGTGTGTCGGTAAGGGGCAAAGTCTATCGCACGAAGATGGCGGTCTCTTCTTTAGGCAGGCCTTTGGCGATCTGTCTATTAATCTGTGTCTGTGGTTATGAAACGTCGTGGCCCGTCCGAAACGACGATTGGCGCGTCGATTCACGAAACTATATGCTAATGACACAGATTAATAGACAGATCGCCAAAGGCCTGCCTAAAGAAGAGACCGCCATCTTCGTGCGATAGACTTTGCCCCTTACC